ATGGGAAATGAGAAATGAGAAATAAGTAAGTAACGAAAAAAGTAGCCAAACAGTGATGGCGGCTTTTGTAGCTTTGTTGATGAGCAAATAAAATGGGGCGCCAGAAGAAAGAAAGCCATCGACAGCTAAGTATTTATGGTGCGTCACCCATTGCAGCTGAAGCCACCGACGACGACGACGACGACGACTAAGGCCAGCGAGACAAAGTGATTTGTCACTTGTGTAAAGAAAGTCGCAGGCATGTGAATACGAAAATCTTAAAAAGCATTTTAAAATTGCATGAAGTTGATGCAAATTAAGAAAAATTTACACTCAAGGCGGTGGCTTAGCTTTTTTTTTAGTTGTATGCAACTTTGTGTGAAAAAATGTCTTTAGATTTTAGTTTTTGGGGTCCTTCGAAAGATGCACTACGAGGAGTTCTCAGTCCAAAAGTTAAGCTGTCGATTTTTTTAAGATTTTCTTGACTAAAGTGGTAGGTTGCTGCGAAACTGATTTATTGAGTTGAAGTTTGGTTAAGTAGAATTAATAGGGCGTGAAGATTTTATGAGGCAAATTTCTAAAGGCAATTTTCTGAAGTTTTATTAACATACTCGTAAATGTATATTTTTTTGGGCATGAATAAGATGAAGCCGCTGGATCGTGCTTATTGAAAAAAAGTGTGATTGAAAAAATTAAAGAAATTGCTTTTAACATGCTGATGAGAAGGATCCAGGTGCATTTCATAGAACCAGTGTGCGAGAGGTTTACCAAGATCTATCTACTCTTAATAATAGAAAATACTGGCGGAGCTTCGAACCTAAAAACTTTTATAGTACCACAAGTCAAGAAAGGTAGGTATGAGAAGAAGAAAAAAGTAAGAATAAGAACAAGGAGAAAAATATAAGAGTAGGAACAAGAAAATTAAATGGAAGAAGGAAAAGAAGAAGGTTAACACAAAAAAAGGTTACCGAAACTGCATTCAAAGGCAGCACCCACGCCTTAGAGCGCTTTATAAGACATATCTGACGTACCACTGGTTGTTCAGGTATAATTTTTTTTATATAACTCCCCTACTGCCCTTACTTGTTTGTATTCATTTTAATCAGGCTGCTTTTTTTAACCTAACCTCTTGCTTCTTTCCAATGGAAAAACTGTTTAATAGCGGGATGGATGATATGTCGAATGAATAAAAAATTAATTCGACTAAATCGCTTTAAATAGTCTCCCCATCCATACCTACCTCATTTGTTAGTTTCATTTTTTTTGTAGCTTGCATCCAATATTATTCTAAAGGAAACAATTTTTCATTTTAACCTCACTCCTCAGATGCAAACGAACTAGAACACCTTTCATTAACTCAGCTCATATGAAAATAATAGGAGTCTTATGCACTGCTCTCATTTTTTTTTTTTTTGCATTTTAATATCCACTTCTTTTAACTCCTTTTGTATGCTTTTAATTAATCCATTCATTTTTCTTTACCGAATACATGGAGTTAAACAAAGAGTAGCATTTTAATCGAGATCCAAGTTGCAATGAAAGGTAAGAGGAATGCAGAAATTAAAAAGGCATTAAAAAGATCGAAAAACTGTAAACAACTTTGAAAGGACTTTTTCTTTTTGCTAAATAAAACTGTGTAACGAAAACTTTTTAACCTTTAAAGTAGGAGAGAATGTATAAAAAAAAACAAAAAAATGCAATTTTCATACAACACAGTTGACGTGAAAAAAAATTTAATTAAGTAATGCAAAGTAATCGATTTGAGTTGCGAACAAAAAATAAATAAAAGAGGCAGGTAAATAGTACTAAACCTAGAAGGAGCCTATAAACAAGCAAAATATTTTAGGATGTCAACAAGAAAAACGCCCTTAATGCCTATCTATAATAAAAGCGAAGTCGACAAGTTGCTGTAATAACAAATAATTTTTAAGCAAAAAACAAAATTCGACTTCAATTCTCATATAAAAATTTAAGATTATCGTTAATCTCTTCATGATCCAATAAACCAAATTGAAATGGAACCACCTGTGAGGTAACACCTTTCCTTTAAAAAAAGAAATATAGAAATCAGTTAACTTGGGCCAAAGTTATGCGGAAACATACATAAAAAAAAAATATTCCGACGAACTGATAACCTTCTCCTTTTTGGGAAGTCGGTTAAAAAAAAGTAGTAAATGATAAAGCTGCAGACTGTAGTCATTGAACTATTAAGAAAGCAAAGAGATAAAAGGCTAAGAAAGAAAATTTACTGTATTTTCCTTACAACTCTACACTAGCTTAAGAAAAGCAACTCTGCTGCATTCTTATGGCACAGTTACGCATACTTTGCACTGCACTGCAGAGCATGTCATTTTTACGTAGAAATCAAAAATCAACAGACTTCTTCATATGTATGTAATGCTGTGCGTTGGGTAACCGGTTACACGCAAAACTCAACTAACAGATTCCTTATATGGCAACTCTCATGCAATGCCAAGTATGCATTACTCAGCCTTTAGAGAGGCGCAGGTAGGCATGCTGCTTCGGTAAAGGCAATGCAGCAGCAAGGCGAAAAAGAAGAAAGCGGAAAGATGCCACACACTTGTTTGCATTGTCTACGTGTTGATTTGAGTGGTTTGTACGAGCATAAAAGCATGTACATATGTACATATGTACTTATGTATGAGTAGGTATATGGATGCAATTGTGAATGTGTGAATGTATGCATCCCAGCCAGCAAAATCATGGTAAACGAGCTAGTAACTGGATGTTTTCTCGAAGAAAAACTGGCTGAAAAGTCGCTTATCATAGCCGTTTACGATTCGGTTTCGAGTACCTTTTCGCCTGAAATTGTGGAGCGCCTACAAACAGTCGTAAACGGATCGAAAAAGCATTGATATGCGAATATTATACGTATATTTATTATATAATATTGTGGTTCAGGAAAAATTTTCAACAAAATTAAATTTTTTTCTTGCGCTGACAAATTACTACAAGCCTCTTTCTAATACATTTTTTTTTTGTTTTATCATTTACGAGCCTTTCTCTAACTCTTTGCCGATCGAGAATCCGTCGTAAAACATAAATGTTCGTAAAATATACGTTTTCTTGCTGACTGGGGTGTGAATCCAAGATGTCTACACGCATGGGCGTAGCCAGGTAGGGGCAGGGCCCCCCCCTAACTTTAAAATTTTCCTTATAATAATATATATAAAATAGTACCCTGAAATGCCAGCTTAATAGGATCGAGTGCCCGCCCCCCCCTAAATTTCATTCTGGCTACGCCGATGTCTACACACCACACCAAGCACCGTCAATTGACTCAATTCACCTACAACTCCACTCACTCTTCGCTCTCTGCTATTAACTGATCATCATCTACATATGTATGTAGTATGTACACACATTCAATGCAGTATTATATCCTTATAACCTAGCTGTTGTTCGTACATTTTTTTTTCTCCGGTGCCATTTGCGTTAGTGTTGTTTTGTACGTCCGTCCGCTCGTTTGCTTTGACAGTGTGGTCGCTTCTTAGGCGATATGCTGAATTCGAAAAGCACTCCATGGATAGGTGCCACACATAGATAATATGCATTTGTGTATGAATGTATAGGCGCGCGTGTGTGTGTATGTGTTTCTTTTAGTGACAAAAGATGTGATTTAGCATGCAAATATGTAATGAATACAGCAGCATGGCGTTGACTAGGAGTTGATGATGAAAAAATTTAAAGAAAATACTTAGCTAAAAGAAACTACAAAACATTTGATAAAAGCGCTGCAAATTGGAAAGGAAGAAAGTAATTTTCAAGAAATTTAATAAAGAGTAATTATGTGAAAACTTAGACGAAAAAATTGCATGTAGTTGCGAGTTTTGTTTGTGAAATGCACACAAAATTATGTAAAAAAAATGTTTAACAAAATGTGTTTGTACTGACCACACACACAACCAAAAACAAATCGCATTTAAAAAGTATGCCATGATTGCCTTAATTTAGAGCTGTGAACTGGAAGTGAAACAGATTTTAAAAATTCCAACTGTTTTCCTGGATTCTGTGAGTGATCCTTCTTCCTGCAATTTATTGTCAAAACAACGCCATAACTAAATAGATATAAAATTACGTGTTCTAAAGTGGTTGATACATCCGCTTTAGATCTATTAAAAAGTGTTCAAATAGCTAGAAAATCGCCGTAAAAAATAAATTAAATTCATTACATTCAAAGAAAAAACAAAACCCGGTAAAAAGTTCCTAAAATTAAGAGAAACGCCTCTCAAAAGTTCCTAATATATAAAAAAAAAAAAACAAAAACAAAATGCTTCGAAATTCGGATATTAGTCAAATTTACGAGCCCTGCCAGAACTATGAACGTGTTCAATATTATGAGCGTCGCCTTAGTCATCACTCCCATCATTCCCATCAAAATTTTGAGCCGCGACGAAACTATGAACCCCGGCAAAGTTATGAAACCAGTTATAGAAGTAAGTTTAATGTTCGTAAATAAAAAAATAAAAATAAAAGTAAAAATTGTATATAAAGTAGGCCACAGAATCGTTATTTTACCATTTAATGTCGCTTTTATGCCTTTTAAAACTTTCAGTATAAAAAATTTTAGCAAACGATGCGCTTTGGGTCAAAAATTGCGTTTAATATGTACATAATAACAAATCTAAGTGCCTTATTTAATTATTTTATTTTATTTTCTACTTGTTTTTAAATTTTTGGTACTTGCGATTAATCAATTAATTTTTTTTTTTTTGTGTTAAAAAAAATAATTTTGTTTGTACTCTCTATTTCATTAAAATATTTATATGCCTTCCACATCGTTAATTTCAATTTATTTCATATTTATTATAATATCACAATTAGCACTATTTTTACGCTCGGGTTGTGCGTGTATTTAGGGCTTTATTGCCACCATGCACAGTCCAATGGGCCTACCGCAATGTATGTAATTTGTATATACATACATATGTATGTATATAAGTAAGCAATTCAGTGAGGCGAAACCCACAACTCAGCTCACAACTCGTTTCCGTTTCAACTCACCGCTGAGAGCGACGATCCGAGTACTTGCCTAGTTTGCCATAACTCATTTGACCCAAACTACCTGTGATCAACTCTGAGTAGAGGCTAAGCTAAGGAAAGAGTAGGAGAATAAGTTTTATTTTCAATCATTTACTCACAAAAATCGATACAGAAAGGTAAAAAAAATAATCTGTAAAAAAATAAACAATTTTCAAATATATTCTGAACCTCAAAAGACCATTTATATAGCTAAGCGTTTCATGCATTTCTACCGATTTTATTTGCTCACTCTCCCATAATTTTCTCACTCGAACTCTCACTTATGCTGCCATATTAACTCAAAAATTTGCTCACTTAAACTCACCTAGCTAATCTTAATACTTTTGCATGCAACACTTATCTATCAGTTCTACTTCTATGCCTCATTTCCCACTCAACTCGCTACCTAGTTTACATTCCTCCATTTCTTCCTTCTCTTCTCATTTTACTAAATTTTTGTGGATTTTCCTATCGCTTCCACAAAAATAAACCAACACACACACACACACAGCAACAACAAATATCATAAAAACATTACCATAGTCATTAGAATTACTACTTGCATTGCCGCAGGCATACTCTCCAACTAAGCTAGCATGCAACACTGTGGCGTTAATGTGTTCAGTGGTGCCAGATTGTGGGAAATTTCCCTATTTGAGGGATATTTTGCATCAAAAATTATTAAAAGGGAAAAAAGGGACATTTTATATAAATAAGGGATTTTCTTTTGACGCAGTTATTGTTGCATAATTGATCAAAATTCACGAATATTCGACATTCGACTTAATTAATCGTTCTGAAGATGTGATGTGTAGTGAAATGGTATATAATTGTTAAAAAGTATAAGGACAATTTCGAAAATTTTCTTACGTTAACCAATTCACGCGCTGAGTAAGAAAGAATCTTTTCAGTTGTAACTGGTATTTCATGTAAAAAGCGGAACAAATTATCTGGTGAAATGTTAAATAGCAGTGAGTGAGCAAAAAAATGAAAGTGAAAAATTGAATGAGTGAAAAAAATGCAGGAAAAGGGGTTTTTTCATAACAGCGGTCGGCCCTCGGCAGGCAATGGCAAACCTCCGAGTGTATTCCTGCCATGAAAAACAGCTTATCATAAAAATACACTCGCCATTCGGAGTCGGCGTAAAACTGTAGGTCCCTCCCCTTTGTGTGACCACATCAAGGGGACCGCCACAAATTGGAGGAACAGCACATATGTGTAAGCGCCAAACTATTATTATTATTTTATATGAATTTTACTTCTTTACTACTGAAACATGTATATGTTTGAATTCGTTGGGAATTTTGAGGGATAAATTTTCAAGATGTGGGTAATTGAGGGATTTTTTCCCCATTTTCGTGGGATTTTTAACAGAGCATGTCTGGCATCACTGAATGTGTTGCGTGCTAGCGCGCTAATGCCGAATAGCGTCATAAAAAAACATAAAAAAAGAGAAATGCATTTAAATAAAAATGTTGCTGTAATAAAAATACCTAAGAATATTATGACCTTAAAATAGTAACTCGCATGCAAACTTTTCAAACTTCTATACAAAGTAATTTTAGCTACTTCAATGGCAGGCGTTACTATTGTTACATTTTAATATACATATATATATTTTTTTATTACACTAAGCGTAAAGTTGTAAAAATAGGTAATTTAGCGAGTTTTTTTCCAACTTGGAACGCATGCAAAAAATCTATTAAAATCCAAAAAGTGAAAATCTCGCAATGCAGGTAGTAGAGAAGGTCGTTAATGATGTTTGGATTTTTGTGCCTTAAATAGAGTAAAGAAATACGTAATAGCCATGCAGGAGTTGAATTATGGAATGTCTTTAGATTTTGGCTGAGTAAAAGTGAAATGTAAAAGTTTGGTGAAAAACATACTTATTGAGAATCAGCAAAGAAATTCTAGGCAACTTTTTTCACATAATATATTAGATATTAGAACCGAATCAATACCAGCAGCGTTTATTTTGTCCAGAAAAAAAAGTATATAAAGTTTCTCCCTTCAATATCAAAAATGATTTTGGGTCAGTCCATGTAAACGAGGAAAATTACTTAGATTTCAAAATGTCTTAATTACACTGTGCGACAGCTGAAATCAGCCCGGAGTTTGTTAATAATTTCTGAAAGTGTACCTATCCAGTACTAAAACACTCGATGTATTTACAAAAGTTAGCTCATATTTTTATTTTATGGTCTACTAAACTTTTCATGCCCCGGCCTAAGTAGTTTTCAAAAAAATGGAAACAATTGGTTAAATAAATGTATCGAGTGATCTTTAAGGTTTGGATGTACATATGTACATATGCAGTAAAATTTCAAGGGCAATATTTTTGTAGAACATTTTAACCCGTCAGCTCCCGCCTGATAGGGTCGTTTCGACCCCTTTTTCAAGAAACCCACTCAAAAAGCAAGTTTGGAAGGTCTAGAGAATTATTCTTCGGACAATGTTACTATGGGCCTTCGCTCTAAAAGATTAAATAAACAAGCAATTTTTAAGCAAAAAACAAAAGCGACTTCAATTCCCAAATTTGAATTGCTTCATGGTCTAATCAATGATCGGATCTTAGCCAAATTAGTATGATATCACCTCTGAGGTACTACCTTTCCCTCAGAAGTCGGTTAACTATCCAAAGCAATGAAATCTGCGGCCACGAAGATCTTCGTAAAAGGATTAAAGGAGTCGAGAGAACGCTGAACGACAGCTTAAACTTAGCCGAGAAAGTTTATAAACTTTCACTGGTCAGCCGAGAGAAATCACAGCGGATTAAGGTACTGCCACGGTTACCACTTTGGTACAATTGTACCAAATATGGGCCTTTTTTGTTTGTTTTGGGCCTTTTTGAAACGTATACAGTTTTATAGCCCATACTATAACAAGTGGAATTTACAAAAACTGGCGTTAATTTTTTGAAATTTTGTTGCTTACGGTCCATCGTACAGTTCCACAAATAACGTAACTCTTCCTTTCTCTTACCGTTTTTCCAGGCAGGTTGTAGATTTGTTTTTGGTGAGTGTATTGGTGTTTTTGGTTCAGTGTGTTAGTGTATTTTGAATAAATTTTAATAGAAATGGAAGCAATTGTAATATAAATGAAAGAAATTGTGAAAGATAAGAGCGAAGACCAAAAACAGGTGATCTCAGTTGTAGGCATTTTTTGGCAATTAACTGAACAAATATTAAAAAAAAATGAACCGCTTGTGTGAGTCACTGTATATATTTTTGTTGGATGACAAAAGTGGTACATTTTTTTAAATTTTATTTTTACTTTTATATTGCGATACACAAAACTTTGATGACGGGGAAACCCCAAATCATACAATATGGGATTATTCTCTTATAAGGCTTAGACTCTGACACTCTGAGAAAAATTATGGTATACAACTAGATAAATTTTCACTTCTTCCCAATAAACTCATCTCACTTTCACTTTTTTCGCACTGTGAATACCCCCACTGTAATTTAACACCACATATGGTGACTACATACAAGTCAAACTCATCTAAGGCAGGGATACAAAATAAGCCAGTCTCTATACAAATCTTGTAAGCTAAAAATAAGTATGCCCAAGAGTATGAGTAAACACGCATGTGCTGAATAATGTGTATGTACAATTTAGTTACTTATATATATACGTACGAGCATGTATATGTTTGGAAGATAGAATTACACACATATTCTTTAATCTCTATGGAATATTTGAAACCGCTGAGAAAGTTTTTGAAGACATTTTATCAATTGAAAATGGGAGAATTGGTTTCACGTTTGCTATGTTTTATCAGCGAGTTAATAACCTTTCCCTTTTTTTGAAATAATCTAAAATTAGATTTCATTAGTTATTTTATGATGCCAGAATGATTTCTAATGAGTAAATAAATCTCAACTTCCTAATACAAAATATATTTTCAGGTTTACCGTATTGAAAAATGCATATTTATTTTAACCCATACGGTTGACAAACGGGCTCGCTTATTTGCATAAACAGCCTTTATTTGCTTTAACTCATGCATTTTTCTCTTTAAAATTCGCATAAGCAGCCGAACAAATGCACGAAATTTTTGGGAATTAGCTCGGATCCGGGGAATTTGTACAATTTTTTATTTATTTATTTTTTATTTTTTTTTACGTGTTTAATTTCAATTTTTTTATTTTCATTTGCTTTACTTTATACCACATCTTTTTTTTAATATAAGTTAATTAAAATTTTTAGAGTTAAATTGTATTAAAAAGTCAACAACCAACGGAAAGCAATGTTAACAAAATATAGAACTTATAAAAAAATTAATAAAAACGAAATAAATGAAAATTCTACTGGCCGTGGGACTCAAACCCACGATCCTGCGGCTAGTTGATCCGCAATACAGGCGTCTATAAGGACAAAATTATTATGCGCATTTGTGTGCTAGTTTATCTGCATTAGAACGCCCGTCTGTCTCGCGCTTAAGCTAACATAAAATCATGCATTTGTTTATATGTAATGCGTATGTATGTGTCTGTGAGCAAACCAATTAAACGTTGATATTTCGGCAAATTTTGTTTAAATAAGCAGAAAAGTCAACAACAACACAGCGATGGAGCAAAGCATTTAATTTTTTCCAAAATGAGAAAAACAAAAAATGTATTTCATTGCAAGAAAAACCTTCATTTTAAATGCATGTATGTATGTGTAAACACAAATATATTAATAATAAGTACTACCTTCTTCAAAGTCATTAAGGTTTGCCTCCAAGCGCTTGGCAAACAAAAGATGATAAGCAAATACTGGTGAATTCATTTTAAATTTTTTTTTTGTGTGTTTCAATTTGCCGGTTGGTATTTTTCCTAAGACGTTAATTAAGATTTGATGAGGCGGAAAATCATACATAAACATACATACTACGTTTAGAAGCTTCATGCAAATATTATTTACTTCTCAAGAAATAATGGCAGCCTCTTTTTAATTTGGCGGCCAAAGTTTAATTTGGCAGAGAAAAATAAGATGGCTTTTCCACATTAATCCTTTTTGCACGCCCACACAAAACTAGTGGCATGTAATTACAGTTGTGTACATTAGTAAAAAAAATGTATTTATATGTAGAAAAAAATTACTTGCAAGAAAAATTTTAATTTGCATAAAAAAGCAAAAGAAAATAATAGAATACACTCTTCCTTTGATTTGTGATTTCTACTCACTTTTTCGCGGTAAATTTACGGCCTTGGCTGAACTAAAAAGGAAATGAGTATTTTTTTTTTTCATTCTTCGAAATTTGGCGGAAATTAAGCGCTGCGTGGCATATAAATTTTGCCTCAACGGAAATTAAAACCCAATTAAAAAATACGTAAATACAATGTAAATAGGAATAAAAATGGAAATGGTAGAAATTGAAAGAAATCAAACAAAAAAAAACGCGTAGATGAAGCCATCAACGTTTAAAATTGTGACTTTTATTTATTTTATTCATGTAAAACATCAGAATTGTTTTGAGGTAGCAGTGTAAATATGAGCGTGCAAAAAAACTTCAAAAAAATCGCGAAAGATTAAATATTTGGGAGATGCAAAAAAGCCGGTGTAAAAGCCAAGGCAGAAGAAACCTTGGAAAAAGATGATCAAGTGTACAACGATAAACATATCGGAAAAATTTATTGACAAATATATCGATAGAATT